GGCTGCAGCAGGTTTCCTGTACTGCTAGAGGGCTAGTGACACCTCATTCCTGGAGGTTCAAGGGGCAAGTCATAGCAGAGACAGACCCTCACCAGGATTCTGCTCTGCTCTACTTGGATCATAGCCTACCTTGGGCCTGCAGGGATTGGGTGTCACTGGCCCTGTGGCAGGGCAGGGTGCTTTCCACAGCTCCTCTGTCATGACCCTGCTGTTTTACTGCGTTCATAGTAGGTTCACAGAGGGTCATTCAGCAGCAGGATGGCCTTCCCCACAACTGAGGCCTCCTCTTCCTTGCAGTTCAGTCGTGGGGAGGAGGGTTCTCTTTTGTATTACCCAGATTTCTGTATTAGCCAAATCCTTTCTTGGTCCCCCAGCATGAGAGACAAGGGAGGGATTTGGATAAGAGGATTTTGGAGGGTACAGAAGCATATACTGTACTCCTGCAGGAAACCTAAAATGCTACGGGATATATTCCTGTACTGTAACACCTCTTCCTATAATCACACTTTCATGAGTCTCTATCTTTGATGTGAATAGTTTTCAAGTATAAAAATAAGGGGCAACAAATTTGTGTGGAACCTTGGGATTAAAATGAATGACATCTAAATGAGAGGCATTTGAAAGGTATGATTCCTGGTGTATCTCCACTGAAGTCAGTGGAATTACGTCAGAAATGAATTCTCAAGATCAGTGGTTCCCAAAATGTGGTCCATGGTATACTGGTTAGTGGTAATTAGGAGATGGTTAATGTATGGTGCTTGCTTTTCTTTTTTCTAGCTGCTGAAAGATTAAAAAAGAATAACAAGGCATTTCTTTCCCAATGTTAGTTTTTTCATAAAAACAATTGCTATACTCGTTACACACAGGTGAGTAGTTGTTCAAGGCTACCTTGTATTAAGCTATGGCTGAAGCATTGAAAAAAGTATGATTAGTGCCTGCGAGTAAAATAAATATTTGAGTCAGTGCTGTAGGTAGATTTCTTATATGTGAAGGGTATGCTCTGAACATCATATTAACCAATGTTGAAATCAGACATGTAATTTGAACACTTTTACATTAATATATTATACAAACCCCATCTAGACTAATAGGAATTGGTGTTTGTGCCATACATCATTCACAAAGTAACCTTCCCTAAATTTGCAACAGGGCCTCCAATTACACAGACACCGTCAGACAAATACCTGTTAAACCTCGTTGCAGGAGGAATAACAGGTATTTCGAACTAGGGCTTTATTTCGAACGCCCGTTTCACTGCTGCGTGTAGACGCGGGCAGTTATTCCGGGCTTGTCAATTTAAAAAATGGTGCCGGGCCAGGAACATGCAAATCAAGCGCTGGATATTTAGATTCCGGGCTTGATTTGCAATTTCGAATGCCTACATTTGCAGCCCTATTTTGAATTAGGCTGCAAGTGTAGACATACCCTTTCTTTGCCTTCTTTATCTGTTAATGCCCAACTTCACAAAATGTCTTGTGGCCATCAGGTGAAACATACTGTATTGCCCAAATGAATTAATTTTATGAGACCAGAACTCTGCTCCTGTCATCTGTAACATAGGGTATGTCTAGACTACAGGCTTTTGTCGACAGTATCTGTCGACAAAACTTGTCGACAAAGAGCGTCTAGACACATTCAGTTCTGTCGACAAAGCAAGCTGTTTTGTCGACAAAACCCTATAGTCTAGACACAACCCTACATGCAGTAACACCTTCTGTCGACAGAACTCTGTCGACAGAAGGTGTTATGCCTCGTAAAATGAGGTTTACCAGCGTCGACAAAACTGCTGAGTTCTGACGTTATGTCGACAGAACTCAGCGGTAGTGTAGACGCAGGTATAGTTTTGTCAACAAAAGTCCACTTTTGTCGACAAAACTCTGTAGTCTAGACACACCCATAGAGACAAACACAGCTGCAGACCTGCTAACATCTTACTAATATTAAAGGATATGCTTAATTTCTAAAATATACTTATAGTCAGGGCTTGACAATCGCGGTGAAAACTACTCGCCAGCCCTGCACTGCGCATGCATGAGACCCACACTGCGCATGTGCGAACCACTGGTAAATGGGGAGGCCAGCTGAAATCTACTCGCCACAGGCGAGTAGATAAGCGGATTTGTCGAACCCTGCTTATACCATAATTTAGCGAATATGCCCTGCACCCAAATATAACCTGCACCCGAATATACCCCGTGTTTTTTTCTATTTCAGTAAAAAAAAATCTTGTATACCCCACGTACGAGTATAACCCGTGGGGCATACAAGACTTTTCTGTGCCAGGGGTATATTTCCCAGGGGTATATTTGCTAATTTACAGCGGGGGGGAGGATTAGCCAGCCACTCACCGCCCTGGTTCCTGCGCAGCCGCCAGCCTCCGGGCGGGGGAGTGCTTATCCCCCTGGTTCCTCTGCAGCCACAGGAAGGGGTGGGGGAAGCGGGACCCACCAGCCTCTGGGCGGGGGAGCGCTCATCCCCCCCCACCCTCCTCCGTTCCTGCGCAGCCGCAGAAACCACCATCTTCTGGGCAAGGGAGAGTTCCTCCCTCCCTCCCTCTCCGTTCATGTTCAGGAACCACCAGCCTCCAGTGAGTAAAAAAAAAAAAACAGCTGGGGAGTAAAAAAACCCCTAGATCCCCCGCGGGAGAGGGGTGTGTGCGGGGTTTGTAAAAATGAATATAACCTGTAGGTTATATTCGCTAAATTACAGTAGTCAAGCTTCAGTTTTTCAGATTTGGAACTCCAGTAGTGCATATAGGTGTATTTTTTCCTTCCTTTTGTACATCTCTTTGATACTCAGAATATTTTTGCAAGTAATTGCTCTAATTTCATACCCATTATTGCCACTTAAATCCAGATTCTTTAATGACTATTGATCTGAGATGACTTAAGGCATTTTCTTTAGATGCATAAATTGCAGAGTGATCCGAGCAACTTAATAGTAAATAACAGCAAAAACTGAATCAAAAGCATATCATTCTTTAGAGGAGCATTTATAGTTTCCAGAGTCATCTCAGGATTACAAGAACAAAATTATTCCACCTGAAAGAAGGCTTCTCTCCCTTCCTCTCCCCACCCCTTACATTTCCTAAAATATATTTAATACAAAAAATTGCAGGGCAGTTTGCTGCCAGGCAGTGTTCATTTTGTTCAGGTAAAATCATATATATCTACATAGGCAGTATTCTTACTGACTTGTAACCTCATGCTCACACTAAGGCTACGTCTACATTGGCCCCTTTTCCGAAAGGGGCATGCTAATTTTCCAGGTCGTAATAGGGAAATCCGCGGGGGTAGGAATTCCTACTCTGAAGTAGGAATAAGAGATCCTCCGGAAAAGGGCTTTTTTCCGGAGGATCGGGGCCAGTGTAGACGCTCTTTTCCGGCTTTTCTAAAAGCCGGAAAAAAGCGACGGACATTTTTATTTAAATGCCGCGGGGGATATTTAAATCCCCCGCGGATTTCCCTATTACGACCTGGAAAATTAGCATGCCCCTTTCGGAAAAGGGGCCAATGTAGACGAGCCCTAAGGGTTTTGTCTTCACTTATCAGGAGATCGACAATGATCAATCTCCTGGGGTTCAATTTAGTGGGTCTATTAAGGACTTGCTAAATCAACCACTGATTGTGCCCCCGTCAACTCCAGTACTCCCCTGGCTCATGGGGAATAAGGTACAATGATGGGAGAGTTTCTCCTGTAGACCTCCCGCAGTGGTAATGTCATGGAAATTACAACTAAAGGTACATCAACTTGAGCTATGCTATCACGTAGCTGGAGTTGTTTATCTTAGTTCAACTTTGTCTCCTATTGTAGACCTAGCCTGAGTGAAAGTTCCATTTTGGTGTGCAGGGCAGCACATAACTAACACACCACTAAAGCCTTTGTGGACTTGAATGGGACATTAGATTGACCTTATGTTTGTCTAGTGCAGAAGGATAAAGTTGACCGATTGAATTTATTAGGATTGTTGCTTGATTAAAATTTGCTGCATCTGGCTCAGAAAAAGTTGTTCTGAAAAGCGCAGATTTATTATCCATTGATCCCATTCTGGATCTCTTTCCCATCATGCTCCTTTTGTTTAGTTTTTAGAATCTTCCTCCCCTGTAGTCCTGGTCTCTGGAAAGCATTTTCTTTAGATGCATAAATTGCGGAGTGATACCAAAATCATCAGCAAGTTTCCCTTTGCAGCCTGTGAAATATACAGAGCAATGGAGTCAAATGGGAAGGAAAAATATAGAACTTTGATACTGTTGCACTAAAACCAGATTATTGGTATGTTGAGCTTAGCATCCCGAGTTAATGTTTGGCTTCAGGAAGTGTGAAAATATCTAGCCTTTGATTGAAGGGAAGAATAACAAAATGTGCCGACTTTCAGGGTGATGGTGCTGGTGAAAGCAAAGAGAGAGAGAGAGCCATTCCTCTTCATCTCCTGCAGGGTATCATTTACCCTGTAGTAAACTGAATAGTTATTTATTTTAGGTTACTGAGACACTATCACAGATCAAGGCCTGTGCTCAGTTACAGGTATTAATCTGCTTTTACAAGAAAATCCGGGAACGCTGACTGGAATAGTGTGTGTGGGGGAGGGGGAGCAGGGGCACGTATGCCTGTGCATGTGTTTGAGCATGTACATGTACTTCACAAAATAATACACTCACACACACAACACAGAACACATTACTCTGCTGAATAGCTAAAGGTAAACTGAATTGATTTGCAACCTAAGTATAAAATGTTTAAAAGGCTCATCATTATTATTTATTTCTTGAAGGCGCCCTCAGTGTGCTCGACCCTCTACAAACACAAAAGTTAGTTCCTTTCCCAAGAAGTTTACGTTCTATTTTGGACACAGAAGAATCAGTTCAGCTTCTAATATACTGGCTGATGGTACAAGTTTGAAGAGATGATGGTATCTTGGAACCCTTATAAAACTGTCGTTTCCTTTGGTTCTTTTTTCTGTCATATGCTAGCTATTTCATTACTCCAATCGTGTTTTCTAGGTCCAATTTTAAGCTTTTGGCTGTAAATGGAAAGCTCTATGCCATTGGAGGTCAATCCCTTTCCAATGTGGAGTGTTATAGCCCAGAGCATGACTGGTGGAATTTTGTTGCGTCTATGCCAAACCCTCTTGCAGAATTCTCAGCTTGTGAATGCAAGGGCAAAATTTATGTTGTTGGGGGATATACGACAAGAGGTAAGACACGTTTCTTTTAAACCTTATTGTCTTTAAAGATCACAAACACATTTTTCAAGACCAAAATTTAATCTGCCGTTAAAGATGAAGCGAAGAGTTCTAAAATACTGAAACTAATCTAAGAAAAAAATTGACAGCCAAAATTTACAAACCAGTGTGCTTGTAGCTAAAGCACACAGACTTCTAAAGGAATTACATATGGTAGGCATCTCTGCAAATCCTAAAACAGTTCAAGGCATGCAGATCAGACTCCTTTTTAGGTTTTGGTGGTTGCAGATTAAACAAAGATCTCATCACCTAAAACCTTTTTGTTTCCTTTTAAAATAGCTTTCTTATTGCAAACTATTCTTTAAGCGATTTAAGATCACAGACAAAAAATGAAGTCAAAACACTTTAGTTCACCTTTTAATTGTTACAGCTGGGTGTTTCCATTGCTCTGCCAAGAAAATAAATACAAATTACAATTATTTTTATGTGAGACAATTAAATAAAAATCTGCTTCCTTCCATCACTGCTCTTGCTTCCCATTGCTATACAGCTTTCCTTTACATTGTAATGGCAAAAG